CATCAGCTAGAGAGACTTAAAAGAGCAGAAAAATAGCATCAACCCAAATCACAGCCCATATTTTCTGAAGCTTCCCAAACGGAATGGCGCGAACCATTTTATTTTCCAGCTGGAATTTCCGGTTTTCCCATGTAAATGGTAAGTACCCCTGGAGAGACACAGACCACACCATCCAGTCGAGAGGCCTTTCCTGGCATCAGCTGGAACACCTGTCCAGGCACATAGGGGACTGGAGGGACTTTGTCAGTGGCCTATGTTCCGAGATGGAATAATTAAAGGCTTCAGATCAGATCAGATCAGATCAGATCAGATCAGATCAGAATGGGGGCGCTTATTAGAATGGGGGCGTTTATCGGAATAGGGGCGCTTATTGTACTACGGGCACTAAATTGCAATCATTACAGTAAATAACCAGGCAGTAGATAGTTCTTACCACTGGAAAAGTTTCCCCTCATCTATCAGCATGGCTTATATTTAAATCCTCTGTTTAGTGATCAATGCAATTTCGACGGCTAATGTCCAAAAACGCTTCCGTATGTCCATAAACAAATTTTACCGTGTCCTCGATAGACGGATTACATGTAGTACCCTGATAACTTTGCTTGAGAGCTTTAACAACTGCAGCTCGCTCTTTAACCTCTCCATTTTATCGAATTTGAAGAAAAGAAACAACAAGAACACAGCTATCGATCCCTGACTTTTTCTAGACGGTCCACCACAAAATACACAATGAAACCCGTTGGTAAAATATTAGACAAACTTGCAATCATTTTTGAAGCGACGGCATTCAATTCGGCTTTCTGTTATTTAACTCTAAATCACCTAACTTCAGCGAAGTGAAAACCTCTGTCAATGCTTCTTTGAAGTCCGATCTGTCAACACTGAAGAATACACTCCATACCTCTCTCCCCTCCCTCGGGATTAGTTTCTTAGCATGAGCAGATATGTGGGCAAAAATTACGTATGCATTACCGGATGTCCATGATTTACGGACATCCGGTAATTGCTGTTACCAGAGCCCTCCGTTTTGCCAACCACGTGACCCCAAAAGAAACGGAGGGGCGCTCTTGGGTACTAGAAAGGCACATGAGGCTCTGGTGACGCGAACGTCATCCGGGCCGGAAGTAAAATGGAATGCGGACTGCTTTGTAATTTTCATTTCTGCGACGCATTCATTTTGTGTCACCCAATAAAAAAATTCGAATTTTTTGTTGCACTGGGGACGAGAATGAGTTGTTATCCGAACGAAGACGCAAATGTGTGACCAGTATGTCTAAATTGGTTGCTTTCTTTTTTCACACTTATTATCTTGTATACAAGAATATGTTTTTATGTTTTCTGTCACTGTTGAGTTAGCATCATAAGAGAAATATAATTTGGCTGTCAAAGTGTGTCATACTGTGTTTGGCAGTTGCAGGTGGTGTTGTTCAACTGAGGGACTGGACTCAAGAATCCCTAAGTCAAAGGGGGAAAAAAGGAGATTTGGCAAGGAAACAGCGGAGATCCCAAGCATTATGGAAAACGTCCATGTGCTGGTTCCACGTACATCATCCAGATGGGTGTCCAGTTCTTACAGAACAGTGTCCATTTGCACACACTGCAGATGAATTGAGAGAAAGACCTCCAGTGGAGTACCTGAATAGTCTTTAGAACCTTGCAAACTTACAAGTTTACCTCAAAGTGTGTTATTGCTTTTATTCAATCACTTACTAAGATCGTTGAAATGAACAATGATAGCATGCAACAAATAAGTGCGATATGTGTGGAATTTTGTACACATGCGCACATTAAGCGTAGCCAGCTATGTACATGAATTGTGTTGCCAAAAATAAAATAATTCTGAATATGGAAACTTTTGTTTTGTGATCTATGCTGACAGTTCATTTGACATTTCCATGACGTTTTGTGTCGGTAAGGGCCCCAAAGAGAATTAAACGGGTGTCTGGAAAACCCGAATAGCGAATAGTCCCGAATAGTGCGAATAGTCTCGAATAATGCGAATAGTGACGAACAGTCGCGAAAAGTGGCGAATAGTGACGAATAGTCGTCAATAGTCACCGCTTTAGATCTAATACCCAGCGTTAATTAATTATCCAATAGGCAACAGAATTTCAGTGAATTTATTACCTTTTCTTCTCCGAACTCAGGCTAGTAGGCTGTCTATCGCCCACATTAAGAAAACAGAAAACACAAGGATAACCTAATAGAGACGTATTTACGCTTTTGCAACGGTTAAAACAGAAGACATTACGTTTAGAAACCTTTTGTCCTGATTAGCGTATGGGCTTTTTAGCGAGAAAATCCCATCCTAATTAAGTTTCTACGAGGTTGACTGGGAGATACTGGGTACCCTATTTGCTACTGGGTACCCTATTTGCTACTGGGTACCCTATTTGCTACTGTTTGCCACTATTCGCCACTATTCGAGACTGTTCACCACTATTCGTACTATTCGTACTATTCGCTATTCGGGACTATTCGCTGTTTGCTATTCGCGACTATTCGCTATTCGGGTTTTCCAGACACCCGAATTAAACCGCGTTGAGAATTGCTGATACAGGGAAACTGTAAGGCTTTTTTATTACTCTGTGGTTACTGATCTTATGACATGTTTGTGAAAAAGTTATATATCCTTTTATTAGGGATGTTAAAAAATTCTAGTTATGGAGGAAAAAAAAGGCACTGATTGCTGCGTTGTTCTGTTTACTGGCTTGTTCTGGGATTACTGGCTTAAGCCAGTAACCACTATGTCATCGGGTGTGTAAGTAAGAGAGTCTGTGACTTTTCGGAAGCTTTCGGAGCAATCTCATGAAGTGAGACCGAAAACACCTCTATATTTACTTGAGTTCTTTTAATCGATTTTCACCTTTCAAACGTGAGTTTTAATGAAAACTACTGCTTTTTAGTGCAGAGTGCATTATTGGGGTGGTTTGGGGGCTGTCGATAAAATGAAGGCATAAGGCAATAAGGCATAAACTTTAATGTTTGTTTAATTAATTAATCATATCTATTAATATCAATTAATTGATTAAATAATTAGTCTTAAGGCAAGGAAGTGGTTGTGGAGGGGTAGGTGCCCGTGTGCACTACGTAAAAACGTGTATCACCTACTTTATTCATAACATCGCAAAGCTATATATTTGGTTTAGGAAACCTCTTGTTCTTCTAGTGGTACTATTCTCTTTAGAACAAAATCAATTTGTCCTAAACGCATGCTCAGTGAGCAGTGCCGACTACAGATAAAGAAACTTAGTAAACATTCATTATTGCGCGAAAAGTACGTAAACATCCATACATTTCGAGGCTGCTGCCTCTTCATCAGTGGATAAAGAGCAACTGTCAACTGTGCGCGTGACATAACGAAAAATTTGAATTTGAAGTTATTAGCGCGTGCTGACTAAAAAGAGCGCGCGTGTAAACATTCAAAACAAACATAATTTCGATGTTACTAGCGCGCGTAGATTTTGGGAGTTTATAGGAAGGCAAAGTCAGTATAAAGTCCTCCCGGATGCAACGTTTTGCGTTTGAAAATCATCTCGGCTTCGAAGCGGCGCCTATCCTGGGTATCTCGGAAGCCAGAGCGGATTACGGACACTAGCATATCAGTAGAGGCATGTTCCGGTGATGCAAAATGTCGACCAACGGGAAGATCGACGTTGGTTTGTCGTGTCGAACGTAAATGTTCTCTGAATCGATCTCCCAGGCGTCTTCCTGTCTCTCCGATGTATACTTTGTTGCAGGTACGGCGTTTGATAAGGTATACCACGCTGAAGCTTGTACAGGTGTACTTGGAATTGATGGTGATATGTCCCCCAGGGGTGTTGATCGTAGGTGAAGCATTGGTGTGGGCGCAGGTGTTGCACCGGGACCGACTACATGGAAACGTACCACGATCTTCGACAGAAGTAGTTGTGTCGTTCAGATGACTCCTCACCAAGGAGTTACCCAGGTTGGTATCGCGACGATACGCACACAAAACTCGTACTGGTTGGTAAATGTCTCTAGTGTCTGGGTCATCTCGCAGCAAGTGGAAGTTTCTGGTAATGATGTTTTTGACCAGTGCGGTTGGTGGAAGTTTCTGGTCATGATGTTTTTGACCAGTGCGTTTTGACTTACAGTGCCGCCTATATATTAGGTGAAAGATGCAAGATGATAGATGTTCGATGTTAGATGATAAGGAATGTGTGTCGTTGATTAACATGAAATACCCATTATGGAACGATGAATTCAAAGAAGTTAAAGATCCGAGGCTTTTCTGGGATCTGATGAAGTATAGAATTCGCCAAGAAAGTATTTCTTACAGTAAACTAAAAGCCAAAGAACGACGGTCAAAAATGGCAGCATTAGCCTCGGAATCTAAGCTCAATGACTGTCAAGAAATGTGTGACCAAGATCCTTTGCCTGAAAATATGAACATGTCTGAGGTTTTGAAGACAGAGTTTGAGCTCCAGAATGACTACATCACCCAAGGGGCAATAATACACTGTACGAACCCGAACCACCTGGTACGAGTAAGGAGGAAAAAGCAACAAATATTTTTTGAACTTAGAAAATTCCAGAAGTAAGAAAAGTTCAATTCGGAAGATAGTTAAGGAAGGTCAATCCTCAACATCAAATTCTCAAGTGATTAGGAAAGAACTTCGTTCCTTCTATTCTGACCTTTATAAATCAAAGAGCTCTGTGAGCCAAGTCGTGAATGTGTTATTATATTATAGTTGAAATGTGTGGTGTTATAGGCGAAAATTTAATTTTATTTGTAAGCTTTAAAACTGTCTACGTGAGAGTAAAATCTCTGAAAATGAAGTCTTCCAAGTGACTGCCGATGGTGTATTAAAGGTTGAAACCAAGTATAGGAAGAGTGGTTTTAGAATATTTAAATTGTTGTTACAAATTTGTATTTGTTGGGAATATTATGTACTTATTGACTGAGTAAGGTCGGGCCGGACGGGAAAATATTTGGCACGAGGTCCGTACGTCCTGACCGGGAGACAAATATTTTCCTGTCCGGCCCGACCTTACTCAGTCAATAAGCATTTTATCATATGACCACTTAACTGTTGAAAATTTTGAAAATTCTGTTTGAACCTAAATAGGACGCG